TGTGTGTGTGTGTGTGTGTATGTGTGTGTGTGTGTGTGTGTGTGTGTGTGTGTGTGTATGCATGCATGCATAATGTAAGGTAACTCTCATCAACTCTAGATCTGAAGGCACTATGAAATGAATCCAGTGGCTGCTATGTGTTATGTGCAAACCTTATTTACAGTGAAATCAAAGTTTATTTATTTACTGTATTTAGTCTTTTTCCCATGCTTGCATGGTATGGTAGGTTTAAATTATTGGATTTAGGGGGAAGATGATATATAGCATAGCATAGCATAGCATAGCATAGCATAGCATAGCATAGCATAGCATAGCATATAATTCTTTATTGGCCAAGTGTGATTGCACACATAAGGAATTTGTCCCCAGTGCATAAGCTTATACACACACATACACACACACAACTATGCATATTTTTACTTAGTAAATCCTATGAAAATCAACATGACTTTTCTGGTTGTATTATGAAAGATCTTCTTTATATGAGACCAACAATCCAGCTGCTGACACAATTTGCTTGTTCCCATAGGCGAATCAGATGCTTCAATCCTGACGTTCAGCCACCTCCTAAAGCCTATGTAGGCTTAACTATGTCACCTGTCTCTGTCAACCAACTGTTTACTCTCACCTTCTTCCAAATGACAGGGCAGCTTTTCAGTCCAGACCAGCCTATGGCTTCTTAGCAAGGCTAGAATCTACTTGGCTTCAGAGACGAGAAAAAGGCTGGCTTGGCAGGGCCATCTGCTAAACCTCCTCCTGAGCTAAATCAATGCATATTTTGGCAATCGGAAAGGTAGGAGGTCTGCTCTAAAGACCAGGCCTGTGGTTTTGCACCCGGGGCTGTCTTCTGAGCTCAGGGTCTCCCTGCCTCCCTCTATTTATGCAGATTGAGCTAGGAGCCCCCCACTCCCGCTAAACTCTTCTTGGTGCCCCACCCAGCTCTTGCCTCCTCATTGCTCGAGCTCCTTCTCCGCTAAGGGGCAGGAAGGTGTATTGCGTTCTTTCAGGTACCCGGGGGCCAAGTCGCTGGACCGTAAGCTAAGCCGGGGGGTCTTGCTGCTGCATCTGGGCAGGGCCGAGGGGCGGGGAGCCCAGATCTGCGTGCTATGATGAAATCCCCTCGCCGGCGGGTATAGGGAGACGGCGGCTCATTGCAATATTCAGCAGCGGTAGCAACGGAGGCACCGTCTTTCGTCGGCTCGCTCCTCTCCGCCTCCTCTCCTCCGCCTCCTCCCCCAGCCGCTCCATGGCAGAGCTGCCCTGACTCCCCCGCTGCACCGCGCCGCCTGCCCGCCAACAGCCCCGCCCGCCCAACCCGCTCCGGCCCGGAATGATCTGAACCTTCCGACAGACACGCACCCGAGTCCAGCGCAATCGCCGATCGCAGGTGAGTGGCGCCTCGGCACGCTTCCTCCCCCCCCCCCACAAAGATCCTGGGCGTCCGCTCGAACGGGGAAAAGGATGGGGGTGGGGGGAGAACAGCAGGTCGGTCATAACGCTGCCCTGAAGGTGAAGCCCTCAGGTCTGCGCAAGGGTTGCAATCTCTCCTCAGGCAAGCGTTTCCTTTGGAAAGGAAAGGAGCAGAATGGAGAAAGGGAGATGGCTCGCATTCGCGGGTATTCTGCCCACCCCAAAAAAAAATACGGCCACTCCTTTGACTCTCCCCACCATCACCACCACCACGTCGTCCCTCCCCATTTCCTCCTCTGGTTTCAAGGACGCGAAGTCACCCTCGTTTTCGCCCTTCGTCTTCTTCGTGGGTGGAAAAAGCATCCTGGCGCGCGCGCGCGCGCGCTCTCTCTCTCTCTCTC